TGGCAAATAAGCTTCTGATAACGGCAGCTTTCATGCATTCCGAAAGCATGATAAGCTTACAATTGCAGATAGTATTCAGATCGCACGGGCTTATTACAGACAAAAGTTTTTACGTTTTCTCTACTTCCCGTACTTCTTAATCCAGACAAAATCCAACGTCATATCTCAACAGAGATGAGGGCATTTGTATCTCTTCGCCATAGCGAAACTTATGTGAACAAATAAATTCTGGAAAGGAGACGAAAACAACTCTGATTAAAGGTTGACAATCTTATATGATCGTACAACTGTCTACTCCACTGTTTGCAAATGATAAAGGCTGGAAACTTTGACATCGCGCCAGAAACCTTTACGCCTTGTGTAATATTGACAGTCCAAATAATCTGCTCACGAATCAACCAATGCTAATTTAACAATGCAGCTAATTTATACTATTAGCAATGTCATACGGTAACGTTATCAAAACTTTTTCAAAATCTCGTTGACAGAACATTGGTCTTAGTTTTTAAAAGAAAATTTGTAAACTTTTTAAGATATTTTAGGTACAACATGAATGGTAATCGTATTGTAGCAATTAATCGACAAAGACGGCTGATTATTTGAATACTCAGCAACAGATTAAAAAAACTAGCAGAATACTTTTAGATAAAGAAATAAATTTGAAATCCCTTAGCAAGAATGACATCTTGAAGGAAAATTACTTTAGGTCTAGTCATATACAAAAGACTTGAATATTGTTAACATATATCATTAATTTCGAGATATGGCCGATAATATTAACAAATACGCTAACTGAGCTCGTTTCTAAAAACTAAAATAGTTAGATTAAGAGAATCAGAACATTTAGGGCATTTAAACTGTGTGCGTTTCCAAAAGCATTCGGCTCAACAGTCAAAATTACGACGTTCATCTACAATCCATTGTCTGAAATGCGCGAGATGACTACAATAGATACTGGCTACATGTACAAGGTATATACTTGACATTTTATGCTCCATGCGTTGCCACATATAGGGAGCGAGATTGTACTTTGATAAACACACACATTTTGCTCATGTTATGATAGAAAACCCTGGCAATCATTATTCATAAAGCAACTCGGATGTTCTGGGCTCATCATCATCATCTTCCATCGCCGCTACTCCTTTCGGGTCGCGGAGGCAGACATGTCAGACAGAGCGTCCAACGTTTCCGATCCTTTGTCAGAGTCTGAACTTCGGCAAAATACAAATGGAGTCTGTAACAGACTCCTTCCATATGTTTGCACAAGGTTAATCTTGTCCGTCCCCTGGGCCTTCTGCCGGTCGGATTCGCAAAGACAGTTACTTAACCTCCTTCCTTTCTGGAGGCATCCGCAACACACGCCCAAGCCATCGCAGCTGTGACTTCTCAATCTGGAGAAGCAAAGGCTGTATGTATTCCAAGGCTCTTCCGGATGTCACTATTCCGGACAATGTCGAGATGTTCTGAGCTCACCTAGCAAAATGTTGACGGCAAGAAGTACCTCGTATCACTTCTCCAGATTTAACGGCACGGTACCTCTCAGTGTTTTAAACTCATGAAGAATTTTTCTAAGTACGACCTTATAATTTAACCGTGTCAGGAAAAAAACCAGTACATTGAGGAGAATTGACGAAACACGATCAAAGCATTCATTGCGGCGATGGTGTGATTTTGTAATAAACTTCAAGCCGACACGTTTCTCGCTTACCTGCCAGCCCAAATCCCTGAAGCTGACGTAGAGAGTTCGTTTCTGGCACATAGAACGGGTCCATTTCATGTCGAAGCCTAAAAAATGATGATTCTTTCCATAAAACAAGCAGATCAAAGTACTTTAAGGCATTCGATTCTATTTAAACTAGAACTGAACAGAGATTTATAAAATTTAAGACAGACTGATTTAGCAAGTAGCTACAAAGTTTGTTTGTAACACTTTTCAAAATGCACTGTCACCGAGAAGTTAGAAGTGAAGAGTGCTGATAAAAGTATTTTCTCAACGATCAGAGAATCATAACATAGAAAAACGAGTTATCAGCCGCTCATGTCGGAACTGCTCAGTATGATCATGCAGCATGCGGTGAAAATCAACAAATAACTATCTTCCAAAGGAAAGATATGCAACTGACTCAGACACTGAAACGCGGAGAGGAAAACAAATATGGATGCACTTTAGTCTTCCATTTCCGTATCACAAGAAAGCGAAGTCAGCGAAAAAAATCCACACCAAAAAC